TTCAGCTAATAAAAAGACACAACTTCGTGCAGCCATTCCAGCAGCGCTGTGAGGCTGCACTGGAGCTAAGCGCTAGCTTGCATGAATGCTGTGCAAATCTAGTAGCTGAGCAAGTTCAGTCAAAACCACAAACCCCACAGTGGCACTAGAGGCAAAGTCAGTGGATCACCCGAGTTATTATGATTTGTCCTGTGGGACCCAATGTGGATCCATCCAACAGTTGTTGAGCTTCCTCAGCGTAGGTGGTGGACTGCCAGAGCCTGGTCCTGCAGCTAATCCCTGCTAGAGGCAAATACGCCGGTTTCATTGCAAAGAAATGGCCTTGTCCTTAATCATATTTAAAATGTCTTTCCATACAAGTTAAAGGGGAATTAGACATGTTCCATTGTGATGTGTTCTTGATTTGGAATAGTGCTGCATAAGCCCACACTTCTTCTTCCTGGCCTTTCAGTAAGCGGAGAAGAAACACACTGTTGGAAAATCAGTTAGAACCTACTGAAAAGTGAAAGAAATAGCGGGGGGCAACAACACAAAAGTCCCATGTACCCCCCCCCCACCCCCCCCCCACAGACCACGGGGCACATTTGATCGAGTTTCACTACAAAAGCTGACCGCTTTTTGGTTCAGAAACGAAAAAAAAGCACAGTCATTTCCTCTTGGTGGCTTCAGTCTCTCCTCCGTCTTGCCAAGACACCTGCGGCTGGATGTTTGTGAGGAACGACACTGACAGACCGGACCCTCAGGAGCCCTGCATGGGAAACTATTACACAAACCCCCCCCCCCCTCGACCAACCCCGGGGCACCTTCAACCACAAAGTCATGCTAAATATAAAGCCATTGTTATCGTTTCGCCGTGCAGTTTACTGTGAGGGGGGAAAAACGTCCAGGCTGAGAGGAGAGCCGATGTAACATAATACCGGCTCTCCTCGGGTTGATGCTGGGGGAGAGAATCCACCAGACAAGCAGCGGACAAGATCAGACCCCGTGGAGCCTGTTAGGAAACAGCTTTAATTCATACCAAATCATCCCACCACAGCTGCCCTCCTCCCTGCATTTTCCCAGGCAGGAGACATGTGAGCGAGATGGAACGAGACAAACTGGTGTCATTTAAGAAAAGGAAAAAGAGGCAGCTGTCCCATTTTTAGCCCCGCGGAGCTCCGGCTGAGTCACACTCAGCTTCGTTTGACAAGAGGCTGACAAAGACAAGGCTGAAAATGACAATCAAGCGAAGCAGAGGCAGATGTGGATGAGGGGAAATGCGTATGAAGAAAAGTGCCATTAATCAAAAGCCATGTATGAGTGCTGCACTCATTTAAACTATGATACATGTGATCAACTGCACATGTGCTCGGCTATTCGCAGATTAACAAGCGGGCAATGAGATGTGCCTCTACATGTATTAACATAACAGAGATTCCATTGTTTAAGGGGTCTTTGATGTTTTATTGTTAAAATCAACATTGCCAGCATCACATCAGGTCCACGTAAATGGAGAAAATGCCGTTTCAATGGGATTCTACAAACTCTCTGCATGCATGAATGAACTCGAAAGGTAATTTGTTGTTTTATAACAAACAAAAAACCTATATGCACCAACACGGCGGGGCAGCCATCCATGGGCGGCATCTTGATTAAAGCAAAGTAAAAAAAAAAAGTCATTAAAGGTCTATTCACACTGTCGGGTGTCTAAAAGCCAGCAAAGTTCTCAGGGCCTGATTCAAGTTTCCTCCTCCACCTGCCAAATTTTGGTTGGAGGTATGACTCTGCGAAGTGTGCCGTTATCTTTTTTCCATTTAAATGCTAATGAGCGTGCTGCCGTACCAGTCGAAGCGCCGCAGAAACTGTGTGAATTTTTAATACCTTATCACACCAAAAGGCAACAGCTCTCGCGGTTAGGCGGAGGGATGAGTACAAGTTACCTCATTAAATTCTGCACTGATTGAGGGCCTTTCCGTGTGGCCTGTGTGTGTGTGTGTGTGTGTGTGTGTGCGTGCGTGGTCAGTTGTGTGCACGCACATCTGTCTTGGTCATTCGGATGTGTGCGTGCATGCAGATGTGCGCAGCAGTGTGCCGATGCACTTGTTTCTTCACCTCATCAGTAATGAACAGCTGTTAATTGCCTCGCCATGATGTGGCGGCGCCAGCGGACAGAGGTTAAGGTCGCCACGAGCTGTTAATGATTACTTTCCGTGAGCTGGCAGAGTCATTTACAAGAAAAGGTTAAAGGGAAAATTCATTGAATGTAATAAAACTGGTGTGAGAAGGAGACCTCGGCTCTTATACCGCCTGGATTTGTGTTCCCCGCCGACACCTGCTTCCAGGAACGTCCACCGTGAATGTTCATGTGGCGCCTAATCTCCTTCTTATGGAGTTACTTTGGATAAATGAACGTCAAACGCTCCTGAGAATGACAGCAATAATCTATGCAGCTTTGCGCTCACGTGCTAACGGGAGAACGATGGCGTTTTTAAATAGAGAAGTTCAACCTGGCGTCAAGGCTGCTTTGTGGAAACGGTGAAAGCAGTGATGTAATATCTGCATCAAACACTAAACTGATTAAATGAAATGAGAATAAAGTCTCCCGTATTCTTGTTTTTTCTAACCCGACATCTCTTCTGCAGGACAAAAAAAAGCTTTCATGTCATTTCTTTTGCAGTATTCCTGTAAATGAGTTGACTCTGCGGTCGGACAAGCGAGGAGGATCTTTGATTTCATCGTTATCTTTCACGTTGTACTTGTTGTCAGATCGCTGCTGGAGGAAGTGACGCTGGAGAAGAAGAAAAAAAAAGCTGGAAAGCATGAGGGACTTTTACGAAGGCGGGCGCTCCTCAAAGCCAGAATCCAATAATTGCTTTCCTCTTGTCTCACGCGAGTGACAGATGGTGAAGCCACCAGAGGCCCGAGGACGGGAATAATATTGTTGATTAAAAATAAATATAAGAAACAACATGCAGCTGTTGGCTACGAGACAGAGACACAAACAGAAAGTGAAAAAAAAAACAGGAGCACAGCCCGGGAAACTAACATAATATGTGTAGTGACACTTTTAAACTCGGAGGGCCCACGCACGTTTCCTCTGCTGGTATGTGACGTTTTGGGAGAAGGATCTTATGGTTTATCTGAATTGTTAGACGTGTTGTTGAGTCGTGTTTGAGATATTTATGAAAGCTTTTATTTGGCTGTGCGCCGCGTGGTGCTCAGACCCCCCCCCCACCCCCCCCCTTCAAACACAAACTCCCACCTGCACAGCCTAAACAGTGAGTGGGAAAAAGAGTCGGATGGTTTCTCAAGAACGTTCGAGATGCATAAAGCACATCAATATTTTCCACATCGTGTGCGTGAGCATGTCAGCGTGTGGGGGGGGGGGAGTTTTTCCCAGAGCTCTTTGCCGGTATCGGGGGAAATTTAACACTTTTAATGGCAAATGCTGATGCTGAGCTCTCTCCCTTCGCCGCTATGATCATCATCAGAGGTGCTCCGCCTCTTTTGCATAGGTACTAATGTAACAGTTGCCTTTTTAAGACGTTCCTCAAAGGAAAGAAAACTCTAAGACACAGCCAGAGATCCTCCATTCGTCATGAAGGGACCAGTTATGCAACACAAATGTCAGACAGAATGTACACACGGTTTTGGACAAAATGAGTTACAAAAGAAACACGGAACGTAATTCGCCATTTGTGATCATTTGTTTTTTCCAAATGGAGCCCATTAGTAAGTTCCAGTGCTGTAGGTTTTATAGGCCGCTGCTGTAACACAATCTTTCCAGTAACTCGAAGGAAACAGTACATCTACTCGACAGCCATCACTCACTAAAAGAAAGAAATTGTATCCTCAAAACGTTCCGTCTCTGTCCTCCCCAAGACGTGCACGAAACCCACGCTGCAATATTTATCGTTTATGGAATAATAAGCATGCGGACTGGGCGTCAGCTGCGTTGTGCGTTGACTTGATAAGAAGCAGAGTAAGCCGACGTGATCAAGGGAGGGATTGAGCGAGATTAAAAGATTTAAGGCTCCATTTGCCTATGAATATCCGATGCCTATCTGAGGCGAGAGCCAGCGACCCTCCGTCAGGACTACGAGGTGTCGGCATGAATCTACCTCATACCTCCATCTGGCCACTTTTCAACTGTTCCTTTATGTGAACATGTGGCCACATTCCTGTTGTGCCAAAGAGTCACGCACGAGCTGTTTGCGTCGATTAAAAAGGGGTTTCTCCTCATTTTAAAACCACGCGGCTCGGTTATTTTTTTTTCTCTTCCCCATTTTGAGACAAAATGTAGTAAGTAATTCGTGTCTCATTCGAAAAGCAAACACTGCTCCATGCTGTGAGAGTGCCAATACCAGCAGATCCTGAACAATTGTTTGGCTCAGACTGGGCATCTGAACGCTTCTCAGCCCAATCCAATGTTGGCAGCAGGCAGCAAATAAAAACCAGGAGCCGGCAGTCGCAGTCTGAACAAGTTGTGTAATTATCTCAGTACTATTTTGATACTCCGGCTTCTTTTGGACATTCAAGACAGTTGCAGTTTGGACACAGGTTTCACAACTGTGAGGTTTTCTCAGAGAAATGTTGCTTCTCTGGGTCAAAGTGAAGTCCATTTCACATTATCACGTGTGTCCTGCGTGATTAATATCCAATAAACTCATGAAGATATTTTCATTTAAATTGTAATTGTTGTTCGAGAGCTCCAGAGAAGTGCATGCCTCGGCATTCTTTCTCGGCATGTGACTTCACCTTGACCTTAATATGTTTACCTTTGGTAACATTTCCAAATGCTAAAGCAACAAACTGGAAAACTGGAAAACGCTCTGCATAATTCTAGAAAGGCTCTTTTGAGGGTTTCATTGAAAACACTCTGAATCAACTTCAGGGGAACAAATCACAAACTATAACATTCCGTACGCACAAAGTCTATAGCCTAAATAAATGAATATGTGAGTGAGTCTGCAGAAGTCATTGAAAGGCAGCTTTCACTTCGTCATCACATGAGAGTTCACCTCCAGACAAAGATGCAGAGCAGACATGCTTTGTGCAACGTGTTTCGGAGGGCGGGACGCGGCGCATGGATGCTAAGGTGGGTCCCCTCCCTCCCTCCCTCCCTCCCCCGATGGGTGTGTCCATTGCCGGGAGACCTCGGCGGATCCACCTGCAGGAGCCGCTTTCCCCGCACTACACACTTGAGCACCGCCGCCGCCGCCGCGTGGTTACGCGCACCTCTCCAGGAGCAACTCTTTTGTTTTCAAACCCCAAATCCCACCTCCTTCCAGCGGGAAAGTACAGACTGTGTTGATTGCATTTAGAGATCACTTCGGGCCAATAGCGGCTGCGTCAAGTTCATTTTTAAATCCGAGCTTTGTTCGGCTCTGGCGGATAATCGCGGATACACTTGGTTCTGCTGCGCGAGGACGGAGCAGCTCCACGGACCCGCAGTGGATGCTTTTAAATGTTGACCGGCTTTAAGGCAATATTCACGGGACGGCACGAGAAGGTGAGTCGTTGATGCGGCTGATGTTTTCACACAAAGTCACGTCCAGTATCCGTATTGATACAGATGTGCGCGTGGAACCGGAGGAGAAATAAGACACATTTGGGGGGGGGGGGGGGTCGAATTGAACGATGCGTGCTTCATGTGCAACATCGTGGAGCTTTTATTTAAAATCTGCGTTAAACGTTTTGTCCGAGATGTTTAATACTTAAAGTCTGAATTTTGAGAACAGTTTATTTTATGCAAAAGACCTTTGTGTTTCGTCGATCTTCTTCTGGTGCGTGGTGGATATTTTTAAATGGGCAATTGCACTGTCAAATATAAATTTCACATACTACATGAGCAAATATCTGTGTGTGTGTGTGTGTGTGTGTGTGTGTGTGTGTGTGTGTGTGTGTGTGTGTGTGTGTGTGTGCGCGCGCGTGCGCGCGCTGGTGCGTTGGGTGCACAACATGCACGACGCACGGAAAGTTTCTGTTGCATGAGATCTTCACAGTCTGTTATATTCCCAGTCCTCGGATGTAAGTGTTCTAACCAGCTCCTCTGTTGCTGGTCGGGTTCCTGTCCTCAGTAATTCCGAGCCGGGCCACGCTTCTTCTGGTTAAAGGTCTGCTTTGGAGTTGTGCCTTAAGGGCTCAAAGTGGAACTGGATCTTAAACCCCGACTGACAGTTTGACCTCAGACTCAAATCCACGTTTACGAGTAGATAGATGAATGGATGATTACATCAACCTCCTCTCTAAAACCCTGTATGTCTCTGTAAGCGTATACGTGTACATATATATATATATATATATATATATATATATATATATATATATATATATTACATACATACATAGTTGTGCCACCTCATTCGCATGCTGATAACTTGGAGCGTCTTTGAATCCTTTCATGGGGACATAATTAACTTCTGCTTCCTTTTGTGGCTCACGTGCGCATGTTGAACCGGGGATCTTCTCTCGGTGAAATTCAGTTCCTTGTGCACAACACTGATACGCGTTACGTTTTCTCGACCAGTTATTTGTGTGTGAGAAAAGAGAGCACGGGGAGGAGCAGGTGGCTGGAAGCGGAGCCCGTTCGTCCACACTGTTGCTTTTTGCAGCACACAGAGGCACGTCACGGTGGGAGATCATCCCCAAACCCATGTAGCCGTGATGGAAAATCAATAGTGAACCAACTATTTATTTCCAGATGGTTGTAATATCACCTGGTCCAGATTTAAAGCTTTTATCCTCTCCCCCACGATACACAGTCCGTGCACGGCAACATTAGAGAAGCACACAGATCCACTTGTGTTGTTGCCTGATGATCCGTGTTGCTATGACGTACGACCAAAGCACCAAAAAGCTGTAAGACTGCACATTTCAGCTGAGTGGCTGTCGCTGCAGTTGGTTTAAAGTACCTGCTCGTTGACCGATGCTCATCTGCCCCCTTCAGCTCCTCGACTCTCCTTCTGCCCTGTTAACAAGCAGAGGGACAATGCTGTGGGAGAAAGTGTGCTGGCTGCTGGCCCTGCTGGCCTTCTCGTCAGGGGCGCTGCCCGCCTCCAACGAGCCCCTCTCCGCTCCCCGGATCTTCCTCTCCTTCAAAGGTAAGGCACTCCTAGTATTTGCAGCATCTGTCACCCAGTTGGTTTAGTTATGCGCTTCGCTACACCGATTTGTCGATTTGATTACCGGAGTAACGGTTGTTTTCCCGTCATTTTGTGGGTGAACTATTTGCACAAGCTGAATTGACTGCTTGTGGCAAGCTGGTCGTTTGTTCCGCTAACGGGGGAGAGTTTGATTGTGCGTCGTGATGAGATGTGCTGCTGGTTGTCCTGTTTGATTCAGGCCCAGAGAATACGTCTTCATTTAATTGCCCGGCTGCCATTAGTTCCTCAAACAGGCCTCTGTGCGACCTCGGCTCCTTTCTGAAATCAAGTCGGATTTAACACTTGGCTGGGCACGGGCTCAAGGCGCAGATCCAGCATGTCGCGAATGTTTGCCGGTGCCACATGAGGCCTCGTGTATGTTGAACCGTCGTATTAAAATAGGCCTCAGTGGTGCAGTCTCTGGCGCTTTGTCATTCCCGCGTCGGCACTGGCCATCGCGTCCATTGTGTCCTTGTATTTGCAAGGACAGTGTGGACACGACCGCTTGCTTTCGAGTCCTCGAGGTTTTTACCGAAGAAGAAGAAGAAGACTTGGATTCGGTCGGCACACTTAATGCATCAACGTGTCGCGTTTGAACCGTTGGAAACAGTCAATGCGAGCTGGAGGTTTTTTTTATGGCATCTTCAATCTGTCAGATGTTTCTAATCGTATCTAGTCTATAGCGGAATAGTAGAAATAACTTCCTATCGTGTTATCTTACTGAGCTGATTATAAGTTGTCTCTTCATGGTATGGAATGTTTACCTTTTGGTTTCTCTCTCAGCATCTTTCCCTCTAATCAAGCTGGATTTCGCCCTTCACTGGTCTCACGTTTACTAGGTGACAAAGAGTTGATGCATTTTCTACTTATTTTAATCGAGTTCCTTCTGTTTTTTAATTAGTTTTGGAGGTTACTTTATGCCTCACGGAGCAACTTCAGATAGCTGGAGAATCGAAATGAACCCAAGGCTATGCATTCCCTAATTGTATTGGTTTTGCACCGCTCTGCTGGGAATGGCTCTGTAATGTACTTTTATTAATTTTGTATGTGCAAGTGTACTCAACCAAATACTTGGCTTTATGTTTCATGGTAGCGGTCTAGTGCTGTCAGACATATTTGCTCTAATAGGTGCTATGTGAAAACATAATCTAAGCTCATGTTTAACAAGCATTTCAGTTTTGATGATAAATCGATCAAGGAGACAAGCTATGAACTGTAACAGCTAAAAGAGCATTTTTATCTCTCATAATGTTGGATTTGCTGCTGTCTGCGACCCAGGCTCACATACACAGTATTATTTTTCACTCATTGTTTGAATTTTATAAAGCTCTTAGAGGGGATGTTGCTGCTTTTGGCTGAAATCCAAAGTATATCTTTGCTTTTCAATTATTTGCCCTTTATCAGAGAAACAGACAAGGGGTTATATACATGTAGATACACACACACACACGTTTCTCAACACAAAGATAAATACATCGCCTTCATACAGTGTACGTTATTGGCACTGCATTTCAGTGGGATCTGTTATAAACCCTTACCTTAAACCATTTAATAATTATTATTTGTAATTATTTTGTACTTCTGGTGGTTTTCCTGGAACTCTTCATAACTGAAACTAAATGATCGTCATGCATGAAAGCCTAAAGAAATCAAATCACATGTAACATCACAGTTTAATAATCAAAGTTTAATAATGATGAAACACTTTTTGCTATTTGGCTTTTAAAGTCTTATTCAAACCAGTATTTATCTTCAATATAAATATATATATATATATAATTTGTACAAATAGGAATTCAATCATTTCCACCTATTTAATAAAGATTATGCAATGCATGTACTATATTGTTTCTTTGCACTGTAGCTTTCCTTGTTATCGTATATTAATTGTTCAACATTAAACCTCTGCAGGATTTCCCAAATGCAAAAAAAAGCAACCCAATACGTACAGTTTTGTTTCTTTTGCGTGTGTTTGGTTAGGCTGAGTCATTAACTGTGATAAGGACCAAGTGAGCAAACAGAGTCTAAGACTAAAGGAATGTCCATTCAAACTTTGTAGGCATAGATGATCAACCCAGACTTCAAAGGGTTACACACACACACACACACACACACACACACACCTAAACAGCGTGTTTTCCCCCCAAAATTACAACTGCTATGTTTAGTATCGCTTCATTCAAAAGTTAGGGTTTGACATAGCTATTAGACGGACTGATGATATTCCATAAAAGACGGGTCACAGTTCTATAGGTGTATTCTTCTCATAAAAGAAGGCTGGCTAGCATCATCTGCAGAGAGCGCCTATATTTACTCTTAAACAAGGCCTATAATCACGTGCTATTTTAGTGCGCCGGGCTCTGCGAGGTTGTGACCCTTCAAACAGAAGCCAGTGACACCCGAGGTTAACTGCCCTCAAACTGTGGGAGAATGGCACCATATTAACAAGTAATAGCCTGTTGCGCTAATCCTCCGGCCCATTTGAAAGTGTTTAACTCTGGGGGGGGGGGGGGGGGGGGTTCTCTCCGGCCTCTTTGGTCCTCGGTTGAACACCTGGCCGCAAGGATGGCTCTGGGAAGAAAAGCAGACAAAGCCAGGCAGTTCTGCAATTCTCAGGGACAAGCTTAAGGTTGCTCCGGCTCCTGCGCTTTCCGTCACGCTCTTTGTGTCCCACGTAATGCGTCAACGATTGTCACGCCGGAACAAAGGCTTTCGCTATCTGCTCATCTCTCCCGAGTGTCTCCGGGGTTAAGATCAGAGATGGCGAGATGCATGTCCTCCACCTCGTTATTCTTTGAATAATTAGGAGCTGCTACCGGGATTGAACTTGAGCACTTGTTCTCTACAACAATAGACCTCATCTCCCACAGATTATGTTCCATAGGCAGATTTATGTGTGTGTATATAGTACACGAGGGCGGCCCTTTGTCTTCCTAAAGTGCTCCGACTGTGACGTTCCTCCATGTAGGTGGTCCTGTACTGTTGATGTACCTTTCGACTCCTCAGCTGAAATAGAAAGTATTTAATTCATAATTATTCCTGTCGTGCCCTGAGATAATAAACCTCTCGCTAGACTGTAAGAGGTATACCATAGTTAGCTTTTAATAGCTGCAAAACAAAGAATCTTGTCAATATTGAGCCACTGTGCCGCGGTGTATTGTATTACATGCATCATCAGAGATGTTAAACATAATGAGACATGCATTAGATGGTGAAACTTACTTGGTCGATTGGCCCAATGTAATCATTAATTTATGGGTAATGGGTAATATATAATGATAATAATTAACACCTTCAGTGTGAAGTGCTGATGTTATTGCTTTTCCCCGATAAACACTCACGTGCAATATTGAGGAGGCCAACGTGCCCGAACATTAACAGATTGACTTGTTATTTGTAAATGGACACAGTGTTGTCATGAATAAACAATATCTCTCTTAAAGAGAATCTACAAGTGAGTGAATTATTAGTGTGTTTTTATCTTCAGGAAAATCAGCCGCAACGCAGATGTGCTATTTGTTTCCACAAAAGAAAATGATCATCACTACATGAGTTTGTCACAGCCTTTCAGTGTCCCTCTCCTAACATGAAATTATAAAACGTATGGATCACAGAATGCTTTCTATAAATGTATTTTGGTAACATCGCTGCTCATTCGCACGCGCAGTACTTGGACGCAGTTTGGGCTCTTGGCATGTATCACACATGCAACATTGTACCTGTTGGCGAACCACTCCGAAGCTGCCCCCCCCCCCCCTCCCTATTCTCTCCATTAGAGAACGCCAGGTCACTGCAAAACCTTTCCACCGAGTAATGCGTAGCGGCCGTGGCACGCAAGCCTGCAGCAATTATTACAATACTTCCAGAACTTTCTCTCCAGAGATGATGATGATGCTGCATCCCAGCAACCTCTGCTCTGCATGATGCATGCTGTCAAACTATGATTATTCAGAAGAGAAAAACACAAGGCGACAGCTACAGTGCTAAATATAGTGTCCTTCCTCTGTTTCTCTTTTTTTGTATCTCCCTCTGCCTCGTCGTCCTACTCCCCTGCCTTTACTCTACGCTCACACCCTCTCTATGTGCTTGTTGATAAGAGGTTGGCAGTAAGAGGTTGGAGACAACAAATCACGAGACAACCGTCTATGTTGTCTCGTGATTTTCGGTTTTATTTTTGATACTTGCTCCTTCCCCCTATGTGCCGGTCTGATTGTCTGCCCTGGCTGTTTCCACCCGTGCCCTTACCCTGTGTCTCCCTTTGTCCTGTGCCAGTTTGTCTTGTTCCATGTCACAGCGACCCCACGCGTACCAATGTCCACTGCCAAGTCTTGTGACGTTTTTTGTACCTTGTTCAAGCTGCCTTTCTGTTCATTCCTTTTTCAGCTTAGTGTTTTTTTCTAGATCCTTTTTTTTCTAGAATTGTCTATGTTCTAGATTTAGCATGGTTTAGATATCGCTGGACTTCATCACAGGTCTCCACGGTTCTCACTGTGGTGGACACATTTTCAAAGATGGCACATTTCATTGCCCTGCCTAAAATGCCGTCGGCCAAGGAGACGGCTGAAACCCTGCTGAACAATGTTTTCCATCATTCGTGGATTTCCAAAAGACGTTGTGTCTTACCGGGGGCCCCAATTCTCGGTTTTGGAAAGAATTCTGCAATCTGATCTGCAACGTGCAGATACCATCCAGAGGCCAATGGACAGGCTGAGCGCCTCAGCCAGGCTCTGGAGACGTGTGTCTCCGTTGCCTGGTATCCCAGAACCCGTCCTCCTGGAGCAAGCACCTGACTTGGGTGGAATACGCTCACAACCTCCTCCCGACAGCGGCCACTGGGCGGACTCCCTCCCAGTGCGTCTACCAACCTCCCTTGTTTCAGGAGAATTGAGAAAAAGGTTGCCGTCCCGTCCGCCCATGCCATGCCATCCCATGGGCAGCTGCCCGCCGGGTCCCCCCCC